ACTTTTTGATAAATAATTCCTTCTTATTGCGAAATAGGAGCACTATTTATCAATCTGTAATAAAAGACGTGAGGAAATTCTGTCTTTTTTAAAGAACAATTTTTGAGGCGAAATACCCAAAAAGAAGTTTGTAAAAAAATGAATCCGCCTCAACAATATAGAACTTATCTATTAAAGTCTTGTTGTTTTCAGGGCCGGTTTTGATACCCAATTCCTCTGTCGAGTGTCCAAAGTCTGAATTTTACACACATACAGGGTGTTTCAGTGGGGAGACAAAAGTCAATTTTGAGCATCAAAGTACTAGATGAACATATAAGGAAGGGCTTGGTTCAGGATCTACAGGGCGATAAATTATTTTTTGAAATGTGAAAAACCTGTGTGTTTATCTGAACTTTTATGCTTACAGTTAGAGCAGACTAACAGGTTGCAGGATGTAAGTTCTCCTCCTGAGACGCCCTGTGTAATACCACGCGAACAAACTTAAAAAGTAAATAATGACAAAGTTTAGTTATGTACCAAAGAACGATATTACAGTTGTTAGTATCATAGTATTATTATGTTTCTGAGTCTATTTCCATGCCCAATTAATGCAGGGTGACTGCAAGTTGGCGTCCTTTCCTTCGGGAGTGAGTGCTATTCTAAATATCTGCGGGTTTCCACACCCCGAGAAAGAGAAGAGTGATGCCAATTTCCACTCACCCTATATAGTTTAACGGTTAATTGTCGCTTAATGCTTTCTGTGATGTTTTTTAATAATGATTTAATCGATTTTTACTGATTTTAGTAAAGTATATTATAACAGTTTATTGTACATAAATTCCTTGGTGCGGAACTCTAATTCCCCGGCAAACCTACGACTTGATTTGCTGCTTTTCCAGCTTCTCTTTGCCTTCCTTAGTGAGGCACAAGTCAAAGTCGGATCCGGGCAGAGCCAATGTGACCACGCAAAAGTTGAAGTTGTACGTGTAGCTGGAAGTGGCCGTTAAATCCGGCAAAGTTCCGTTAAACTCGCCCAGATTGAACTTGGGAAAGGGAGCGTTGATGGTTATATTGGCAAAACATGGGATGTCCAGCGCGATGCTGTCCGCTCCTTCTGTTTTGTTCAGGCAGAAAGTCTCCTTGCCATCAGGAGGACAGGGGATGGCGCTCTTCACGCAGTTGGTCCCATTTTCCGGACATTGCGAGACTTCAGAAAGGGGCGTCATGCACATGACTTCATTGAAGCTGGTGCAGGTGGCTGTAGTGCTGGGCGCGCACAGCTTCTTCGCATTGTCCGAGCATGTTAAGAGCGCGGTGACTGGCATGTTGATCTCGCCGTTGCTCTCCATTGGGCGCTTGTGCGTGTAGATCGAGTAATTCCTGCGGAAGCTCTCGGTTTCCAAAAACCACTCGTAGTTCTCCTCCAGCACGCTTTTGTAGTCGTTGGAGCCTTTCAGCGGGGCGCAGTCGTTGTACTCCGGCCCGGCAACAGCCATCGTGGTCACGCAATAGGTGTACTTGGTGTTGGGCAACGTTTCGGCTTTATCCACTAGATTCACGTCCAGAGTCAAATTGGTCATGCAGGGCACGTTGACGTCGGCCTGCAGCTTTTCTTTATGCGTCGAGTTCTGGCAGAGCGGGTCATTGGCGTCAGCGCAAGGCACTGTTGTGTTGACGCACAAGGCCGCGTTGCCGCCTTGATCGCAAGGCAGCGCGTGGCTCATCGTGGCTACGCACAACACTGTGCCGTTCTGGGTGCACACCTTGAAACGGGTAAAATGGATGGTTGGATTCATTCAATTAATTATGCGTAAAACTTAAAAAAAAGAAAGTTTAATTAATATAAAAAGTAATAAACTGTCGCTTACTGCTTGCGTGCTTTGGCCGCACATCTTGGTCACATCGCCTTCGCACAGGGTGAGGACGTTGGAGGGAAGCTTGATTTCCTCCACTTTTTTACCAGGATCTTGATTGTAGTAGTTGACCACGTTATAGGGACGTTTCAAGCCCAGGCCGTGGCTTATCAGGCTGGAAGCCATGCTGAAATGTGAAGTCAATATGTAGAGCGAGCGTTATGCAAGGTTTTTATGTGCAGGAAGCCACAGTTTTTTTTTAAAGGCCTTAAGTGCAATTAATTAAGTGGTGTAATTTTGCAAATTTTGATTTTTGGTTGACATTTTTTCATGTGTGGTCGATTTCAGTCTTCTGTTATCTATGAAATTAGAAAATTGATCGTCGTTTTGGGCAAGGGTGGCGCAAGATTTTTGCAAAATTTCATGTTTTCCGTCCCGTTTTGCATGTTTCTCGGAAGCAAAATGAGCAAGAACGCTCATTTGTATATCATTCTAGAGATAAATAAATGGCCTTTTTAGCAAGTCAACAATCGATAAGGAAATTTTGGCAGTTTTCTCAAAAAATGCTTGAATTCAAGAAGTTTTAGATTTGCGTGGTTTTTTTCGAGTTGCAAAATCCACTTGAACATGA